GTTGTGCAGCCTCCACACTTAGACTTTTTGACTTCTCGTTTCTGGTATTTAAATTTTTTTAGTTTCATCAAGAATACAACAGCACGTTGTTGACACTGTAAAAAGAATATAGAGAAAAGATTTTCATTGAACATGCACACCGATTGTGTTACTTTCTTCTGATTCCTCCTCTATGTACCAACCTGATCATAACTTCCTGTTATAAATTTCCCCTGACACATTAAACGAGCAGTGAGGAACATGCAAGATATGGAGAAAAGTTACGATCAGGTGACATGTTTATGTCACAACAGCAGTCACTTCAAGCTTCCTTATATTGTAAGGGGAAGACTAACATAGAGACAAAAGCTATAACGTGCTGAATTTGTTCAGTGAGATCACAGATCGAGTGATCAGTAGAAACTTTCTCGTACAGATTTTGTGTAAAACCAAAAAAGTGTTTGGATAATAGAAAGGTTTTAGACACTTCTTGGTTTCATTTTGTAGACCCAGAGGGAAAGCCCAGTTTTATATGCAGACTGTGTAACTGCAGTGATCCTCAGAGCTTATGTAATGATTTAGCTTTCATTTTTACAGCACCTCTTTTTTTATTTAAGTATTTCAGAGCTTTGAGACATTAAATAAATAATAATAAAATATAGGTAATGCATGTCATATTTATTACCATATTTAACAATAAAACATAATATTAGCAGGTCTGCTTTGATTCAGCACCTTTACTAAACCTTCTGGCGTTGTGATTTACAGCTTTTCCACCAGTTAGACTTTGCTTGAACTTGCTGGTCTCAAACTAACATACTGTAATATGAAGATGATGCTCTGCCACCATCTAGTGGCAATCATGCATTCAGACAAAGCAGAGTCATAAATACAGTAGGAACGAGCTCAGATGCTGAAACACTGTTCTAATTAGACGCTGTGCAAACTTTCACAGAGAACTATGAACTTCCCCTCAGCTGCAATAGCTCTGCTTTTCTGTTTTTCTGTTTGCACTTCCTTCTTTTGTTTTTCTTAATTTCATTTGTCTTAGTCAAGCTGCCCATCTGAGGCTCCGTGTTCCAGACAGCACGGGGTCAACATGTTAGAGGGGGCCCCCCTCCCACCCCACCATATGCCCCTCAGGGTGACAGTGACACAAGTGTCCCATTGTCATAACAGCGTCTGTCAGGGTCTGTCTCTCGGGGGGGGATACATGCCTTGGGGAACATCAGAAGATTAGCTGTGACATTAACCCCCACCCAAACACCCATCACACACACACGCATATGCACGCACACATGCATCAATGCAGATGGCTGCACACTCCTACCCATAATCCTCAGTCACAAGTCACTTCCCGTTTCATGATGAGACAAAGCAACAGATCATGTGTTTGTTTTTTTCTGCTTTTGACTGAATTTGTTGGAGAAGTTTCGCACACTTGAATCTTTTCTCTCTGTAGCTGGAAAGCAAAGGAGCAACCGTGGCATTAAAGTGAGTATTTGGAGGTCAGCAGTTAAGTGATTGTGGTGATTGTGGTCTAAAGCATGAAGGGAATGCTGTAGTATGTGCCTGTAGTAGGAGGGAGGGGGGACGTGTGCAGTATGCATGTGTTCTGATAGCAAACATCCAGCTATTGTGCTTGGTTTTCATTATTTATGCATCTCTCTAGCATACAGAGCCAATTCTTGATCAATATGTGATCAGCCATAGAAGGCTCAGGTTGTATTTTCAAAACAAGACTATAAACAACCCAACAAACCCCAAAGTCTCACCCATAGTTAGAAACTCTTAAGACGTAACCAATAACTGAAGCTGATCCATAAGCTACTTTGTAAAAGGGAAGGATGGGATTCTGAATTTGTTGCATGTCACAGTCTTCATTAAATATGCAGCACTGGCTCTTATAATAGTGGGTCGAACTCGGCTCAGCAGAAATATGAGCTGAGATGCAGAGAAAGGCACAAATGTGGACTGATGATTACAAAAGGTAACAAACGTAGAATGATCACAATAAGAAGTGCCTTTTCTGATAAATTCATAAGAGTTTGTGAATAAATTGTAAAGATGACCAGAGAGATGTTGCAGTAAAATGACGTAAACCAGCAGTGATTTAACCGCATTTGTCTCTCTGTTGATGTGAGTTTAATTCAAGTAGACCTCCTACTGTCTGATGAGATTTTTATAGTATTGAAAAGAGAGTTTCAGGTATCTGGGATGTTTTTGTGATGTTACTCTGAGTTTGTCACCTGGGAAAAGATGCGAGGAAAGGGTTTACTCTGCACATGCTTCTCCATCACACCACCTCCTGCTCTTCTTTCCTCGCCTTCGTTCTCATCACTTATTTCTCACTCTGTCTCGCCTCTTTTCATTAGAAGCGTGGGACAAATTAGAGGAGTGATGGATGAGCTGCCCTCCTCCATGATGCCGGTTCATTCAGGCATGCACACTGATATATAAACAGATATAGAGGGCGCATGTGTGTCTATGTTTGTGCCCATTTGTGTGATTATGTGTGTTTATAGTGACGTGCACATTCTCATTGGGCGTCAGAAAATCTATCATTAAGGTGGCACTTTTTTTTTTTTTCCTGTCATCCTGATTTCCATGACCACCAATTAGATCTAGAAAGCCAGATGATGGGTTTAGGCTTCTCACATTTGTGGCTACATCTGCTTAATTACCATGTATTACTCACACTATAGAGGCAGCCGTGATTGCGCTCGCACAGACACACAAACCACACTCATCCGGCTAATGGACCAGCCGGGTCTTTGCTAGCTGGGCTTATATTTCACCGAGGGGGAGGGAGGGAGGGAACGAAGCCAACAGGTCCATTATTGAGAGAGAGCATCATAGACGGACAGGGGGGAGAGAGGCTGGGATGGGGGGAGGAAAAAAGGAGGTGGGGATACGGCTGCAGGCGTACTGCGGCAGCAGCAGAGCGGCATGACGTGATAGGGGAGTAGAATGACGGACACACAAACACACACTCATGCTTGCAGCTCAGAGCCAGAAAAAGTAGAAAGAAGCTAAGGCAGGGATCGAGCCAGCCGCGCTCTGCAGCATACAGATCGGACTCCAACTGGAGACTGAAGCAGGTGAGTGAAGGCTCGTGTTTACTTTAGTTAATATTTCAGATCCTTCTCTTATTCTAAGTATATTTTTGTCTTGTTTCCTGATGAATCTGTTCTCTTGCTGAACATATTTCCTGTTGATTCTAAAAGCGCAGAGTTACTAAACTCTAATGTGAGGACTATGTTCATGGTGCTGTGACAGTTAGAAAAATAAGGGAGAAAAGACGGGCCAGTGAAGAGGATTACAATAAACGAAAAGAAAGAGCAGGAGTATCTAAAGGATGAAATGATTGGCAGTTGACCTGAGTCAGCAGTTTGGATGTGTGACTCAGTAAAGCATGTGTAGTATACATATTGTAGCGTGTGGTACATTTGTTTGATGTTGAGAAGAATGGAGGCAAACTGCTTCTCCCATGGTGATATTTATATTGTCAGTAGTCGGGTTATTTTCTCCTGTTTACTTTGTGGGTGTTTGTACCCTGGCTTCTATAATAAGAGCATGTGCAGAGGACGTGTGCTAGACAAAGATCTTTTTTTATTTAAAGTAGAACAGCAGCTATCCTCATACATTAAATGCTTACAGAACCCATTTTATCACATCAGGTCCCAGCGAGGCTCATTTACTGTCCCAGTGCAATTTGGAGGTTCGAGGTTCGGAGATGACTTTGTGCTGTGGGATTTCTGATGGTGACACATTATGTGTCATTTTGGGTAACTTCATGCCAAATACATTTCCATTTTGGTCAAATGAGTCATGACAACATAAACACTCTTCAGTTCTTGTGTGTATGTGTGTGTGGTCCAGGTAGTCCTCACAGTGTGTGAGCTTAACTCTGTTTACGCCGTCACATAATGATCGTGTGTTTCTTTTGTCTTATAATGGGGACGAAAGCTGTTCCCCGCAGTGTAAAACACGATACTTTACCACGAGAGCGTGCTGTTTAGAGTAAGCCTCCAGAAAATGAATCTAGGTCAGTGTAATGCCCTCTGAGGTCGTAGATTCGTGACTGTGTTCTTTGAATCTGCCAAATGACATTTTTTTTCCTTTTGGCGAGCGGTTAGAATCAAAGAAAGTCACTTTGAAAATGAGTCACCTCGAAAGAGAGGCCCCTGATTGGCTGAATGTGTCATTCCTGTTTGTTCAAGCTTCCTGTCTTGGTGAATGGTGAGGAGCTGTGAACCAATGGGAGAGCAGCGGTGAGGATGCAACTGTGATCCAGGAAAAAACAGCCCATTGTTCCTGGGACGTCAGAGAAGTGTGACCTGCTTCTGGACGGTTAGCCCAACGGCGCACTGACAGGTAAGACTCTCGCGTGACACGGCAGAGCCTTGAAACTGAATCATATGTTCTTTCTGAGCTAAAAATATTGCCACGTTTATCTTATGATGACTTTCTTTTAAGAAAACTGCCTTCTCAGGAATTTGTTGTACCACTGGGTGTCACTAGCTTCTCTGCTCCACGGCAGGACTTTACTGCTGTTGTTCTGGCTGCTGTCATAGTGGAGGTGATTAATTCAATGTACTGTAGTTTCCAGCCTGTGTGACACACAGGCTCTGCTGATGCCCTTCACAGACAGAGAGGCCTGTGTTACCAACTCATGTATTGATTTTGTGATGAGTCAGAGGGTGTTCATCACAAGGGTGAGTGTGCATGTCTGTGAGAGAGGATATGCATGCTTTTCTCATAAGATATAGAGTAACTCAGGTCAGCCACAGGCGGCAATGGGGAAGCTGAGCTAAATCAGTGTAATGTTATTAAATTACACTGTGAACATGTAGCATAATGCCGGCTGCAACGCTATCCTTGTTCTTCTGTCCTTCAGGAGAGCACAAACCTGATATGGCTGATGTTTCTGATAAGTGTAAAAGATGCTATTAATAAGCCTGCATAATTCACCTCGCAGCTATAATTAATGATAATACGGGACTGTAATGAATGAGACGCTGTGTTCCTGCAGTTGCAGACAGTAGCCAGTAGATGTCAGCACCACCCTGGCAGAGTGAAGAGAGACAGTAGTTGGTCCATGCAGCAACCCACACAATAACTACACTGATCTGTAGCAAACCCCAGTTTCTCTGTAGGCTTCTGCACTGTGTTTGCGTCATTGTACAAACACGATGATGTCCTAATAAACCTTTTATTTATTTCAGCTGGTTTAAGTATGAAAGCTAAATCATGATGTCAGCCCCGAGGCCGGGTCTGTGACTAAAGACACAGTGACTGATAGTGATGGCAGATTTTGTCTCACAATAAGATATGTAATTATGTTTTTAGCTATTAAAGTGCTGTTTCCAAATGCTGTGAATCTGGAAAAATATTAAACTAAGGTGAAGCTTTACAAATATGTACAATGAAGCTGATTCTGATGCTAAAGAAACGCTAACTGTCAAACTAATCAGCAGCAATATAAACATCCTTAAAAGCTTCATGTTTTTGCGTTTGCACGTGCCTCAAACAGTAAAAATAAAAACGCTTCTTAAACCAAACTCAAACTAATTCCTTTAGACATCACATGGAGTTAGACTTACAGTGAAAGGAGCCAACAGACGGTGTATTGTAAAGTTTTTATGTGACAGGATGACACAGAACAATCTTTGAAGCCTGTAAGTCTGAACACATGACAAATACAATGTACCCAACACATGTGACGCTTGTGCTACAAAATATCCTATAATAACATAACTGAAAGAAATCAAACTAAACTAGATTATTTTTCCCCCTAACTTACAGCTGTTTGTTTCAGTCACCTTATTTGTATTTCCTTCTTTTACACACACACACACCGCACGCGCACACACACCCCTCAGGTATTCATATCTTGTGGTGACATCTAATTGACATAACACTTTCTCTAGCCCCTTACAATAAACCTAACCCTTACTCTAAACCTAACCTTAACCTTATTGTAACCCTGACACTAAAACCACATTTTGAGTGTAGAAAAATGCCTTCAAATCAGGATTTTGGTCCCCACAAGTATAGTAAACTTCCCCTTTTTAAGTCCCCACAAAGATATGAACACACACACACACACACACACACATCACCATCAGCAGCTGAGCCCCTGTATGTTCTTATACAGCCTGCAGAAGTGTTGGTGTGACCCCGGCATATCCCCAAGGGAAATTCAAATTTTCATACAGATAGGCATCGAGTCAGCCCACACCTGTGCTCCTGGAAATCCAGCAGGACCTATAGCAGACAGAAAGAAATTCTGATGCTCATTTTCTGTCTGGACCTCCCAAGAGATGGAGTGTGTGAGGAAGACGTACAGAAACAGACAATGAGGAGGGGGAGGAATTTGTAGGGAGTAATAGGGGAAAAGGAGGATGGATGATCACATCTGTCTCTGTTTACCTACTGCTGCATCACTGCAGCTGTACGCTGCTGCGCAGGCCTACATTAGCATCAATCAAAATACAGCACAGCTCTTAGTTGCTTGTCTTAGCATGTCTGATTCTATAAGTAGGTGGGAGGAAGGCCTCCTGCAGAGAATCCGTCCTTTTTCTTCATCAGAGTTTCAAGCTGAAGCAGTCACTCTTTCTCCTGCTTTTCTCAGACTGCTGGAAATGTGTGTGTGTGTGAGTGATCCACATGACACTGTGTGCAATGCTGTGATTAGATGCACTGTCAAATAATCCAGCACTTTATCCTTGTGACTTTGACGGCTTAATTTGATACATCAATGCTTCGCTAAAGACAGCTTCCCACAAAGTCTTCTGGCAGCAAAAGTTTTGCTGTTTAAGACGGGGCAAGTAGGGCTAAGCATTAAATCTCTAGTATATTTCTAAGTATGTCTGCGTTTGTGTGTGTAATTATAATACACACGCTCAGACCATTTTTTAAGTGCAACTAGGAAGAGAATCTAGAGTGAATTTGTGCATCTATGAACATTTCAATATATGCACTCACTGGACATTTTATTAGGTAAACCGTGCTAGTGTTGAGTTGCTCCCCCTTTGGCCTTAAGAACAATCGTCAGTCTTCCTCTTATAGATTCAACAATGTGCTGGAAACATTCGTCAGATATTTTGGTCCTTGTTGACATGATAGCATCAGGAAGTGGCTACACTGTGGTCCTAAAGGAACTGGCGTGGTCAGTAACAATACTCAGGTAGGCCGTGGTTTTTAAAAGACACTTAATTGGTATTAAGAGGCTCAAAGTATAACAAGAAAATATCCCCCACACCATCACACCACCGGCAGCCTGAACAGTTCATACCAGGCAGAAGGATTCATG